AGACATGAGGTCAGAGGAAGCAGTGCGAGGAGAGGAGCTGGGCACAAGGCCGGGGGCGGGGGTGCGTACCAGGATCTCTTCTCCGCAGTCATACTTCTGCTCAATCTCCTTGCCGAGGTCTCCCTCGGGCAGACGAAGGTCCTCTCGCACCTCCCCGCTGTCCTGGAGCAGCGATAGATACCCATCCTGGATGCCAATCAGCTGGGGGCAGAGGAGGAAGGAAGCTGCAGGTTGGCCCAGGTAGGGGGGACGATAAAGGGTCTGAGGACAAACTGGTGGCAAACCTCTAGCACCAAACCCCTTCTCCGGCCGTTCCCCTCTCTCCCGGTCAGTCTATGGCCACCGACAAACCACTAACCCACCTACATACCTGGAAGTCATTCCTTTTGATGTTGGGGACATCCATATTATGAGTCGACGGGCAGATATCTTCGTATTTCTTGCCAGTAAAGATGTCAATACCAACCAGGTGGACCTGTATGTGTGCATCACATGAAAGAGAAACCCGACCAAGCTCTAGGATGGAAAAGAGAAAGGCTCGAGGTGCTCCTGACTGGTGAGGGAAGTCCGACGAGGTTGTCAGGGAAAAGACCAGGGGAGCTGGAACTAAACCAATCAGCCCAAAGAAGCACTAAAGCCTTTAAGAAAGGGAGGCAGAAAGACTGCCCTTGACTTTGGGGTTGACAGCACAAAGAAAACAGGAGGTCAGGCTCCAAGCAGCCAGTTACCCTGAGCTACCAGAACACGGACCGATGTGCCCAGGGGACTGGGAGGACTCTACGCACATTTGGAAAAGCATCTGGACGTCAGCATAAAAGGTGAACTTGGGAAAACAGGAAGCAACAAGAAAGGAAGAGCGCTGAGAAGAAAAGGCTTTGGGGACAGAAAATTATGCAAAGGGAATAAACGCCACAAAAGAACACGGACAAGGACGTAGACGTTGGGGGTGACCCAGGGTGAACCCCGAGCCAACAGAAGACAAACCAACCAGGGAACAAAACCACAAGAACCCCAGCAAGGATGAGTCAGGTCCAGTTTTGGGAGGGCAGGAAAAACTGACAAGCACTAGCAACAATGTCCAGATCCAAGAGAGCGAGGTGGAGGCTCAGGAAACTCCGGGAGAGGGGCAGGCGGAGACACGGTGTGACGCTGCATCGGAGATCGGGGGCGTGGGGCAGGAGGGGATCTGGAAGCTCAAGGTACGCTGGCCCCCTCCAGGGAAAGCTGCTCTGTAGTGGGACTAGAGAAAGCCTGGGAACTAGAACCCCAGGCAAGAAAAACCACAAGTGAAAGCCAAGAAGGAAGGAGCTGCTGACCAGACCACCTGGCAAAGTTAGAGACTCACCAGTGGGGAAGAGGACCGGGCACAAGGCAATGACGGGGCACAGGAGGTAACGAAAGGCTGAAGGCCGGGGGAAGGTGGAAGGTAGCCAGGGCTGAGCACTACACAAGGAACTGGGGGGTAAAAAGAGAGCTCCGGGAATGGAGAGGGCTAGGACTGAGGGCAGCTTGCTGCCGGGAGCCCCACGGATGAGGGAAGTGTGGGGAAGGCGAGAGATGGAGAGATCCAATTCTAACCTTGGCATGGCCGTGCTTGCCAGTCTTGGAGGTAGACATCTCCACGATCTTACAGGGCCGGCCTTTGAGCACCACAAAGCCATTCTTACGTAATGCTGAGCACTGCATCGGGAAGGTGGCTGAGGCCCCTGCATCTCCTGTCTCGAAGTCCAAATCATCTGCCATTTTAAGAGGCTTCGATCCCAACTAGAGTCAAAGAGAAGCGGAGTCAGTAGAGGTGGAGGTCGACAGAGCTCTCCATCTGCCCCACTGCTCTCTGGAAACAGGCTTCAGGTTTCCCCAGCCCTCCGTTCCATCACCCGCCTAAATGAAAGTCAAAGTGCCCAGGTTAAACACGGAGTTGGGACCACAAACCTTAAGATGGGGCGTGTGTATGAAGTGGTGGGAACACAAGCCGGACCCCTAGCCCAACTGAGAGCTAAAGGGGTGGCCCGGGAACAGAAGGCTCTGGGGAGTTAGGATGCCAAATCTCCAAGATGGGCAAACGCCTAATTCCTGGGAGGCGGGGGGAGACTCAGGTGTTACTGGCCGCTGAAACCAACCACCCCTCTTCCCCACACAGAACAGGGCTATAATTAGGTGAGCAGCCGCGAGCCAGCAAAAGGGCGGGGCTACCGTAGCGGGGAGAGGGGAGGGTGGAGACCGGAGGACAGGGCCCCACCCGTCTGTTACACCCCCCACCCGATCCACGCGCGCCAGTCACTGGTACAGGAAACCACAAGGCCTCTTTGGGGGATTCCCGCCTCTCCAACAGGCCTTTTCCGACACAGCCGAGGGAGAGAAAGTAAAGCTGTTCTCTAACTTCTCCCCCTGCCAAACACCTCCATCTCGTTTCCCAAAGGGAACCCGGGAACCCGGCCTCTCCTCGAGGGCCCTCCCCCTTTTCCCAGGATGCACCGGTCCTGTCGGCTTTTCAGGCCGGGCCTGTGCTCTCAGTGGAAAGTGGAGGAGTGGGCAGCGTGAATGACAATAAAATGAAAGCAAAACGCTGGGAGTAGTGAGTAGCAGAAGTTCTGTTAGGCCGGCAGAGGTGGGGCTCTGAAAGCAGGAGCCCGCAAATCAGACACAAGGAGGAAGACCGTGACAAGGTGAAGAGCACCGATCACAGCGGGGAGCTCCTCTGCTCGGGACTTTAAGGCGCTGTCGGCGCGGCCGAAAAGAGCTGGGCTCCCGTCCAATCGCCCTCAGTCTCCCCGTCTCTCCGGCCACCCAGCACGGGAGAGCGCTGCTCGCACCTGGCTGGCCGCCTCACTTCCCAGGGGAGTCGGGGCGGGGGGGTAGCGCGCCAGGGGCCCATGGGGCGGGGGCACGCTAACATATGTCCGCAGCGGGCTCTCCCGGGAGATCAGGTGCGGGCCTCAG